ACGAATCTATTTCCGCCTGTGTACAATCGTGATATTGCTCATACCAGTAAACACGTATATGTTCCTTAATATCATCGTAAATTTTGGTGCGATTGAATCTCGATTTCGTATAGAACAACCAACCGATATTTTGATCGAGCGTATTATAGCGCGCAGTAGTGAAACATTTCTGATCCTCATATATTATGCCACACTGCTTGACATTAAATTCGGCAAAGTATGACAACTCATCATCCCATTCCAAAGTGGCCATAGCAGCAGCTGGCTCGAAAACAAGTCCCTTCGCCACTTCGTTGCGATATTTATTATGCTCACCCAGAAAAAGTTGTTGAAACTCCTCCGTAATCGGCAACATTTCAGCATTGGATGGGCAACCTGCGGCGAAGGCCTGTCATACCTTTTTTTATTTTTGGTAAATTTTGGAAAAATTCAATGCTTACCCCGGTATGGTTACAGGCCAAGACGTGTTTCTCGGCACGGCCACTACACATGTAAGCTGCGCTACAATAGTCCACATCGCCGACGGCGGCATCCACAGCTGCATTGTAAAGCAGGGCAAAAATTGATAAATATGTAATCAGCATATTTACTTCTACTTTCGTAAACATTCTACTAAGTAGTTATAGATTTAAAACGGTTTTGTCTCTGCAAAATATAAACTCAGCTTTATATAGCGATCATCCACCGCAATAGTAAGTGAATGCTCCTCCTTTGAAATTTATTTTTTTAAGTTTAAGTTAAGAAAGTTTTTTTTATGTAAAAAAAACTGTTTCTAATATTTCTAGCAAATTAATTTTACACTTTGGTAAAATGGTAATGGATCGCAATAATCGCGTTGGCTGTGCCGCTTCCCTATATGAAACCGATTATGGATTTAATGTGCTCTTCACATGCAACTATGCCCGTCGCTTATTCTGCTACAAGCCCATATTCCGTTCTGGCCCTTATCCAGGCTCCCACTGTAGAACTGGCATGAATCCACGCTATCCATTCTTATGCTCAACCAAAGAAGAGTTTAATCCCAATGATTATAAAGTATAGCTTTATGCAATAGATATTGAACGATTAATATGTATATTTAAGAATGAAAGCAAATTAATTAATTTTCGAACCAGACATGAGCAAATCTCACGAGTTGTTATTTTTTTCGACAAAAACGCGTTTTTGATCGAAAATGGTTGTTAGAAAATGCACTATCTTCAGTTCAAAGAACAAAAAAAGTAAATACATATTAGTTCATTCGTGTATATAACAATTTAAGAATGAATTTTGAATGTACCAATAAAAATTGTAAAAATGCAATTTTAGTTTCTCAAATCATAGCCATCCTTTACTCAATGTAATTTTTTTCATTTGCTGGCACACTACATAGTTTTATGACACTAGATTTGTTCATTTTGGCAACAAGACCGTTTCCACCAATTAATATTTTGAGGCATCTTAAATTATTACTATTAAAAAATCTTAAAATTTCAAAAATTACAAAACGGCTGCGTTAAATACGTATAATGCATGGTGGCACAGTCTTGAAACTTCACAGATATCTTGTATTTATGTCAGCGTCCATTGCCTCTAATATGAACAATTTATTTGAAAACTTCCCAAAGTTATTAAAAAAAAAAAAAACAATTATGATTGTCGCAAGCAAAAATGAGTAGTTTCGGTAGTTTTTCGCCTAAGTAAACGCTTTAAGGTAAAAATTGATCAAATGATTGATATAAATTTTTTTATATTTGTTTCTGGAACTCCATTGATACATATATATTTACATTAATAAGAGCAATACTTTAGCGTTTTTTTTTTTTCTGTGGAGATAAAGGGAGTGACACTAAAACAAGTAATTTTTAGCAAAAAAAACCGGCTTAAAAAAAATATATATGTATATATATTTATATATATTTTATGATCCAATGATCGGAGTATGGGACCACCTCTGAGAAACTACCCTTCCGATGCAAAAATACNAAAAAAAAAAAAAAAAAAAAAAAAAAAAAAAAAAAAAAAAAAAAAAAAAAAAAAAAAAAAAAAAAAAAAAAAAAAAAACAATATTCCGACGAACTGATAACATCCTCTCTTTTTTGGAAGTCGGTCAAATACCACTCGTAAGATTTGCTCATCTATGAATATCGATGTTGAGAGATCGATAAAGTTTTACCAATAAATGTATTGGTTTTCAAAAGATTTTTTCTTTTAAATACAATCATATTCCTTCGTAGCCAAAAATTTCGTTTTGAGACCAGAAATCATTTCAGTTAAATATTTCAAGATATAATTAGCTGCCACGCCACATTTATGAATGTATGGTCGAATTTTCTCAACCTTTGCTACAAATTTTGCAAACCTTC